CAACAAGTCAGTGCTAGGAGGAAGCTCGAGAGGATCTACTAGCTCCAGCTCCTCTTTCCCAAACTCTGTCTTCAATAAAGCAATTGTGCTGACCAGAATTGTGCAGTCAAATAAGCCAAGTCCTGTAGAGGGCTCCCCACTTCCCATGACTCAGGGTTCCTTGTAGACTTAAAAAAATCAATGATAGACCTGCCTGGTTTTCCCATATTAATAACAGAGCATCACTTTTTTGCTCATTAGAGATGAATACACTTGAGAATCATGACTGTAAAAACTCAAGAAATTGCAAAAGGAAGACACCTCCCATCCTGGCCAGATGAGCCTGCACAGTGAGAAATCCATTACACACTGGCTAACTCAGCATACGGTCAAAGAGCTGTATAGATAACAGGAACCACATGCACTGGACTCTGATATTTTGTATTCTATTGTGGCTCATTGAAAAAGAAACATTTTAGCTGAGCCACTGAGTTGATTTCATGAGAATTAGTGGTTGTTGAGATTGTAATCTGAAAAACACTGTTTATTAAGAGTACATGTTTTCAAGTCAGAAATATGTGAGTTGGAATCCTGGGTGCACCTCTTACTAGTCTCTTCTCAGGAGAATTCCCCAACTTACATAAAGCCATTTCCTCCTGTGTACTATAGTGATTAACCAAGAGTGAGGGACCATTCCATTAACTAAATAAGAATGCAGGTAGCACATGGCACCATAGCCAATGAGTGGAATTTTTTTTTTTTTTTTTAAGAATAAGAAAATGAAATCTGAAGTAGAGATGCCACACTAGGGAATTCTGGAAGTTCACAGGTAGCCAACGTGTTCTCACCCTCCGTGGATGAAAAATAATAAAGCAGAGGATCTTCTACTGTTACTCCTTCTTGGCCACACTAAAGTACACAGTCATGTGTGAATCCAAAGTAGTCAGGAACAGGTTGCTGTTGCTCCCATCATCTCGATCTCTGATCATGGACTTCATTCGAAAGGATTCGCAGGCAAGTCCAGGAATCCACGGGAACACTCACTTGACAGGAAACACTTCTGATCTGTTCATCACCTCCAGTGAGAGCAGCAGGGGTTCTCAGACCTGGCTGGACATCAGAGGATCCTGAGGAACTTGTGACATATTCAAAGTCCCACTGGAGTTGTTGGCTCAGGAACATCTGGAGCAAGCCTTTGGAATCTATATTTCCAACACATGCACACTCATTCACCCTCCTATTTAAACATCCTAGGTATTAGGATATAACCAGCCTAGGTGGATCACTAGGAAAGTGCAACCTTTTGGTATTACTCCTAACTCATTATAGTGTCCAATAAATGCTTATTTAATAGCACCAGATATTTAGTATTTTCTTAAGTCCATCAAATAGATTAATTTCTATGAAAACACTCTACCATAGCAGACCAGCATAGATGAAAGAATTGGAGATTTTAAGTCCCTCCAAATCAGAAGTAAAAAATACATAGAATAAAGTGAGGCATGTGAAAAAAAACCTCAATGTGTTGTGCAAATTTGAGCTGGGATGGGATGGGAATGGTTTTGCTAGTCATTGACCATGAGTATAAAAACCGACCACTCTGGGACCAAGTGCCCGTAAAATCACCTTCCCTTATTACAATCAATTGGTCTGTTTTAGAAGCTCATCCCCTCCATTTTTATTTTAATATTCACCAAAGCCATATTTATTTTTCACTAGCATACTCTAATTACATTGAAAATATTTACACATTGAGGCTTAAAAATATTGATAATGTATCACACTGTTATACCAGATTCAACAGTAATTTAAGCATGGCTATTTTGAAACATTACATTAATGTTGTATCAAAGATTTGTCTTATTACAGTATTAGAGTCTTTTTTATAGGGAGAAGATGCCCAATGCTGCGTTATAACCAGTCACCCACAACAGTATCATATCACCTTATAACACTGGCCAAATTGTGTTTTGTCTCTCAAGTGTGTTGCTTGTAATTTCATAAAACAAATGCATCCAGGCCATTTTCCAGGGACAATCCCTTTATTTAAATTTTCATTGCCAACATGTAGTCTGTTGACTGGGCAGCTATCTAAACAAACGCACACTTTTATACATCCTGCAAAAGATGTCTTCAGGGAGCAATAACTTAAAATGGATAGTCCCTCAAAGCTCTGCTTCTCAGATGGATATTTGAACTTGTTATTCAATCCTATATGCAACTTGCTTTCTTTTTTATGGAGCCCTGGGAATCCTAAAGCCATAATCTTCACGACTGATGCCATATTTGGTATGTGGAGTAGTCCTTCATCAGCATTCAGTAATAATAGGGTCTGCGTTTCTTTAATAATGGGAACAGATAAGTTATGATCTACACTCCTCATTTATTTTCCCTTATGATCGGTGCTTGAGTTTCAATTCTAACTTGTTTATTACAATTTCATCCTGAAGCACATGCCAATAGAACTCAGACAATTTCGGGGAAGTGCACCTCCACTTCCAGTGACTTTATGAGCATCACCTGCGTGATTTATTGAAAATTAGCCCTTTTCCTGAATATATTTTGGACGCTCTGTACTCTAACTATATTTTAGACTCCCCTTCTCTCCCAAATATCTTGAATTCAAGGTACATAAACTCATGAAGCAGTTGCCCAGAGAAAGAGAAGCAACAGCCCCGCCCCCAACCCTTGGGAGCAAAAGGGAAAGAAATATCCTAAGAAATTGTTTAAAAATCCAAATGCAGCAGACGAAAATGAAACGAAGGTTGCATAGATTGATGTCCCGGGGGTCCAAAATTTAACCCCAAATGGGCAGTAAATTGTTTGGCATTAAACTAAATCAGTTTGATGAACTCAAATGCCCTCGGCTCAATAGGCAGGACTCTCCGAGGAGCCTGTGTTACTTCCCTCACTTAAGTGCAGATTTGTAATAAAAACCTTAATGCCAGTGGCAGGGTTTTTGGACATATAAGAAGCTAACCACTTGGAGAATCATATTTGCGAGGTCAGAAAACTCCACCATAAAAGATCGGTTTATAATTTACGAAGAAAATAGAAAGTTTTGTTTCTCTGAGTTGAAATTTGACAAGCACGGCGGGAAATATTGCTGGTTTTTGGCATAAGGCTTGGTGCTTTCCTCATAATTTAAGACCTGCGTGAAGCTTGAGACTTCGGGGATCATTTTCTGAGAAAAATCGAGCAATTCGGTGGAGAGAATTTTGATATTTTTGGCATTTTTTGAGGTGTAACAAACACAACTCAGGATCCGACAGGACACTCTGCGGCTGCCAGCGAGGCGGGCTGGACAGCGCACCAATCACGGCGCAGCTCCGCCCTATATAAACGGGCGGGCGCAGCGGCGCGGCCCGAGTCCCGGCCAGTGCCTCAGCTTCCGGCTCGAGTTCCTCTCCCCGCGCCCGCCTTCGACATGTCCGAGACTGCGCCCGCCGCGCCCGCTGCGCCCGCCCCAGCGGAGAAGACGCCCGTGAAGAAGAAGGCCCGCAAGTCCGCAGGTGCGGCGAAGCGCAAGGCGTCCGGGCCCCCGGTGTCCGAGCTCATCACCAAGGCTGTCGCCGCCTCCAAGGAGCGCAGCGGCGTGTCCCTGGCCGCGCTCAAGAAGGCGCTGGCGGCCGCGGGCTACGACGTGGAGAAGAACAACAGCCGCATCAAGCTCGGCCTCAAGAGCCTGGTGAGCAAGGGCACCCTGGTGCAGACCAAGGGCACCGGCGCCTCGGGCTCCTTCAAGCTCAACAAGAAGGCGGCCTCCGGGGACGCCAAGCCCAAGGCCAAGAAGGCGGGCGGCGCGGCCAAGCCCAAGAAGCCCGCGGGGGCGGCTAAGAAGGCCAAGAAGGCCACCGGAGCGGCCACCCCGAAGAAGAGCGCCAAGAGAACCCCAAAGAAAGCGAAGAAGCCGGCCGCGGCTGCAGGAGCCAAAAAGGCAAAGAGCCCCAAGAAGGCGAAAGCGGCCAAGGCCAAGAAAGCGCCCAAGAGTCCAGCAAAGGCCAAAGCGGTGAAACCCAAGGCGGCTAAGCCAAAGACCGCCAAGCCCAAGGCAGCCAAGCCAAAGAAGGCGGCAGCCAAGAAGAAATAGGAAGTTCCTTTGGCCAACTGCTTGAAGCTCAACACAACCCAAAGGCTCTTTTCAGAGCCACCCACAGGTCTCAGGGAAAGAGCTGTTGCACGTCGCGAGGGGGCGTGGCGGGGAGGAAAACGCTACCAGCGGGGGGCGGGCCTGGGGGGGATTGGCGGGGGGGGGGGGGCAGGGTCGTTGCAAATGTCGTGGGTGCCGAACCGGGTATGTCTGGCTGGCGTGAGGGTATAACTGCCCCGTGTATACTCTCCGGAGTACATAGAATGGTGTACAGGATGCTGCAGCGCCATGGGAAGAAAGTGTTGGGTCATAAAGTGCACTTTCGGTGGGCCATGGAGACACTGCTCAAATGGATGAAATAAACAGGTTGCACCGGAAGCCATAACGCAGTTTTGGGATAGGGCGTGCTTAGGGTTTTCACACAAGAAAAAAAATCTAAGGCAATTAGGAATGTGGGCTTAAGTTCTCGTAACAGCACATTGCTGCCTTCCTGTGCCACTGCTTCGCTATCACAGGCGCGGGATAATGCGCTTCTGATCCCATACCTGCTCCTGCACTGACAGCAGCTGGGCACTAGGTGTCCACCGGCGCGCCAAGCTGTCCCGGCGAGCGGGGACTTGGCTCCACCCACAAGCCTCAGGCGCGTTCTCGCTGCTGCTCTCTGAAGCAGCGCGTTTGCTTGAAGAGGCCGATTTATAGTAGCTTTGGGTAGCCCAGAAAACGCCTTCTGATTGGGCCAGGCAAAGTAACAAGTTGGCCAATGAAGAGGTAGACCTGCAAGTGTTATTTACCCTTCGCATTTGTGACGACACACTAAAATTAATCCAATCACGAGGGAAATCTTCCTAGCCTCATTTGAATACCGCATCTATAAATAAATGTGGTTTGGCGGGCGGTGATTATTTGCCTGGGCTTTAGTTACGCAGTTGTAACACTTACCGCTGTTATGCCGGAGCCCACCAAGTCCGCGCCCGCGCCCAAGAAGGGCTCCAAGAAGGCGGTGACCAAGGCGCAGAAGAAGGACGGCAAGAAGCGCAAGCGCAGCCGCAAGGAGAGCTACTCGGTGTACGTGTACAAGGTGCTGAAGCAGGTGCACCCCGACACGGGCATCTCGTCCAAGGCCATGGGCATCATGAACTCGTTCGTCACCGACATCTTCGAGCGCATCGCGGGCGAGGCGTCCCGCCTGGCGCACTACAACAAGCGCTCGACCATCACGTCGCGGGAGATCCAGACGGCCGTCACCAAGTACACCAGCGCTAAGTAAAGTCGTGTAGTAAGAATCTTTACAAACTAGCTCCAAAGGTTCTTTTAAGAATCACGCATGCGTCCAGCAATGAGTTGTAATGCTCTCATTCCAAGGCAATTCCTGGAATTCTATTTTAGAACTCTTACATTCTAGGTCTTGGTAAAGCTGCGTAGGAAAGAGGCACTTACACGTCCCTGGGATGTTAAAAGTTACAAGTTCTGTCATTGTGTTATAGGACAGGGAGAGGGGTAGCCCAAGGACCACCCTGTTGCAATTGTAGCCAAAAAACGGTTGTATATAGCTGTTAGCCATTTAGTATCTCACAAATAAGATTTAGAGCAAACTTCCTTGATCTTTCCGATTTGGTGGTGACCGCTAACCCTGAGCACAAAAGAGCAAGTTCTGACAACTTTGACACCCATGCTGGATAAAAAGCTGAAAACTTTGTGAGCTTTCATGGAAATAATATAAAGCTCTTCCTGGTTTGCTGGCTTTGCAATTGGTGCAATGTCTGCTAGCTTACCTAAGTGGGGTGAGGGGGAGGGAAAGGACTATGCTGTATTCAGAAAGCTTAGGAAAAGCCTATTTGAGAAACCTTCAAGCCCTCCGGGTCACAAGAGAGAAGCTCAGTATTCAATCTTAAGATACTGACTGGATAGGCAATAGTTATCTCAAGACTGAGGTTCTCTTTTCACTACCTTTTACCCTCTCAGACGTCCAGAGGGTCATGGAGGAAAGAGGAGGTAGACTGGAAGGGAAGCCTGTTCTGGCTGGATTTTTATTTTCCCCATTATTGTGGGGAAAATAAATCTGGGGAAAGAGTGTTGGGGGAACTGAAAGGGCATCCAAGATGAAGGTTTCAGAGTTCACGAAGAAAACTGCCAGGTAGATGAGGTTGGGGTGGGGGTGAAGTGCTTATGGAGATGGAGAACTTGGTTGGCTAAGTGAGGAATGAATAGGCATTCTGCCGTCCTCATCATCTCCCAAAGACAGAATCATGAATTATCATAGAATTTTCATATGGTAGGTTTGGTACCTGGATTAACAATTAAATTCCAGGATATTTACTAATTCTGAAAAGTGACTAAGCAGCCACTAAAAAAAAGAAAGTTGCTCTCAGACTCCTGGGTTTGGCCCATGTGAATCCCCAATCACCATAGGTGGCTTTCACCCAGACTAGAGGTTTGTTTCTTAGGGCGTTTTGTGATGCCAGGGACCTTAAAAGTGTCCACAGTGGGAGTCTGGTAAACATTTCCTGGTGAAGCTGAGACACCAGACCAAAAACTACATCCTCGGGATACTAGAAATACACACACACACACACACTCCACTGAAAACATGTATGTAGAGCGGAACTTCACACTTGTTACTGGCATTAATATCGCAGAGATTCAAAACACCTTCGCTGAAATTTTAAGAATCTCCCAAGTAAGTTCTGTGCCAATAAGCATCTGCTGAAGTTCTTTCTTTAAAAGTAAGTTCTTTCTGTAAAAATAAGTTTCATTTTAGGCCTTTCTGTAAGTTCTTTCTGTAAAAATAAGTTTTATTTTAGGCCTTATCAAATCCCCACAGGTCAAATCAAATAGCAAAGAAAATGAACGAGCTGCTTCACAACCCAAGTTAATGAAGACACACCATAAAATAAGACACCGTGACCAAAAACAAGAGCAACAGACAATGGAAATAAAAGAAGTAAAATGAGGGAGTCAACATTTACATATTTTGTAACTAAATGTAACATTTTTAAAAAAGACTTTATTATGTGGAGGAACTAAGAGACTACAAAAAATGACCACACAGATTTGAAAAGAGTCAATAGAAATTTGAGAAACAAAATGTATGTATTACACATAATGCATCTATATACATAATAGAAGTAGAGAGAATGAATATACATAGTAAAGTTGCATATAGAGAAAGAATAAATTATCACAATTAAAAAGCTCACTAGATGGTTTAAAAGTCGATTTACACCCAACTGAAGAATTTTAATGAACTATATAAATAGATCTTAAGTAATTATTCAAAATGTAGAGAGAAAAATGTGAAAGTGAGTGTAAGGGATCTGGAAGTAGTAATAAAATGTCTGACATGCATCTAATCAAAGGACCAAAAGGGTAACCAGAGAGAATCATGCAAATGGGAGATTAAAAAGTTCATGCTGTGAATATTTTAGAATTGATGATTATTCATATAATTAAATGTGATTATATAATTAGATGGAGTGAAAAATGATACAACAGAAATGGAGTCACTGCCTGACATTACTAAGCCCTGTAAAGTCCTGGAACAAATGTAACGCTGATTCTCAGAGTTGCCCCTTCCTTGTATGTGGACAGATGTTATCAGACTAAAGTATTGGAAATTTTGTGGGAGTGGGAGGGAGGATTAATGAATGATTATTACCATATATTTTGTCTAGTTAGTTATTAAATTCTGTTAATTTAAATCAACATTTAATGGACTGTCTTGATTTAATTGAATATAACACTCATTAGCAAATGAAATGTTTGATATTCTTTCCAATAAATACTTGTTAATAGCTTTTATCACATCGTTGTAGTACTTACACACAAGTTACACCATATTAGAAATGTTAGCAGGCATCACACTTTTTATTCTTTTTCACATAAATGGTTTTGGTAATTCATGATTTATAATAAAGTGTGTGTGTGTGTGTGTGTGTGTGTGTGCATGTGGTCTTAATTGTGTTGGTGCAGTTCCCATCTTACTGTTTAAAGAGTTTTTATCAGAAATTATTTATAAATTTTTAATTATGATGAAATCGTGTTTTTTTGCCTTTGACCTTACCTTGAGGTATAGGTATATTTTCTATTGCCGATTTATACTTGCATTTCTATGCCATATCTTATTTCATCATGTATTGTTATTTTAAATAAAAGCTGGACACATTTCAACTATTCACATGGATTTTTTTCCATCTCTACTCATACATAAAATCTTTTCTTGATTTTCTCTTATAGACTTACCCACCAAAAAAAATTACCCCAAATAGTTTAGAGATTGAAATGACTTTAATAAATTATTTATTAAATTATTCATGAATTAGACTGCACACTATCTAACAAGTAGAAAGTTGCTGCCAGAAGTTGCATAAAATGGAAGGTTTTATACTCAAACAAGAGGGGCACAAGAACAGAAAGATATCTTTAGGCAAAGTCACCTTCCCTTAAAGGGATGCATGAATCTTATGCTGATTACCTCACTCATGTTGATCAGGAAATTTCCGACTGATAGGGTTAAAATTCCACCTTTGGAAAAGTATTATGTTTTGAGGCTTGGCATAAATAATTCCATTTTGGGGACTCCCTGGTGGCACAGGGGTTAAGTCTCAGTGCTATCAAGATGTCACTATAAAGCTATTGTCAGCTATTGCAGCCTAAGTTCATTGTCCAGCCAGGGAGCTACCCACATGGCGCAGCAGACCTCTCCTGACTCACCTGCTGCTCTCTTCAGCAGTGTATTTCAGTAGATCTGCTTGTTCAGCTCCCCACTCTGTCTCTGGTGAATCCTCTCACCCCTGATGCCTCTGCCTAGACCCCAGTTCTTTTATGCATAAATAAAAAATCTTAAAAGAAATTTGATTTGGACCTGATATTTCTATTTTTAAATGCCTCATTTTATCATTAAGATTATGATAACTCCAACAATATAAAATTGTAGGGTTCTGTTAGTTGGTATTACTGTGTAACAAATTATCCCCAAAATGAGACACTTTTGTCAATGAACATTTAATATTTCATTTAGCATCTGGGATTCAGGAATCCAGTAGTGACTTAACTGGCTGCAAATGACTTAAGGTCTTTAATGAGTTTGAATTTATAGGAGCGCAGGGGAAAATTCTCCCACCCCTCTGTGTTCTTCTCAGGCTGGTCCAGCAAACAATTTAACACGCAAATTAGTAAGAGAAAAACCAAACCACACATCTATGGACATTTCACATGACTAAAGTCTAAAGTAAATGGGACAGGCTGAATGTTCGTGTCCTGAGCTAAGCAATGGGTTGGGGCTTCCCATGTCAAGCAGAGAGGAGGGGGTGTCCCAAGTGATGAGAGGAAGACTTCATGTAACAAAACTCTGACTCTGTGTCTCTTGTATTAAGGTAGTTTTTTCTGATAAAAAAAAGTTATTTCGGGAGATGATCTTCAATCTGGGAATCTTCATTCTTTAAGAGATGGTTAGTTTTTTCTGAGATCTGCAGGGCCTCAACTGGTCTTGGTTCCACATGCCAACATGACATATGTTGATAAAAACTTGCTCTGAAAGTCTTGTACTAACCCAATCTGAACATTTTTTCAGACCAATCCTACCAGGTCACAAGTGTAGGCTGCAGTCACGTGAAGGCTTAACTGGGGCTGGATGTTTCTCTAAAAATATGACTTGCTCGCATATAGGACAAGCTCCTCCAAGCTATTGACAGGAGGACTTCAGTCCCTTGCTATGCAGAGAACTCTCCAGAGGGCTAATTGACTATCTTCAAAACATGGTAGTTTTTATCACCCAGAAAGAGAAATCACAGATAAGGAGCAGGTGGGAGGCATACAGCAGAATACCTTTTGTGACTCAGTGTGAGCTCTCACAAATGTCAGACACTGTCACATCTGCCACTTTCTATTCACTAGAAGTAAGTTGTTTAAATCTGGTTTATAGTCAGAAGGGGAATTAAGCTCCACCTTTTGAAGTAAGGTCAGTGAAAGAATTTGTGGACAAATTTGAAAACATGCACATCATCTCATGCATGCTTTTAATACTTAAATGGAAAAAGTCATTTGAATTTTAAACATGAACTAGAAATCAGCTATATAATCACCTGGGTCTAATGCCTTTATAATATGTAGATCTTTAAGAAATTTTGCAACCTAGTCTACAACTGGCCACTATGTTTAGGGACAAAAATAAATATATTTTCCACATGATGTCCTAATGGACTATTCCTGAGATTGTAAAGGACAAAATAGTGGTCTCTGTGGTTAAATATAACAGCCTAGCTCACAGCAAGAATTTGAGTGATTTTTTCTTTCAAAAACCTTGAAATTTTCTACTATGGGCAGGGAAGAGAAACTGTAGAAAGGTGGAGTTATGTGTTGTGTCAGCAACGTGGGACTGATAATGGAAAGAAACAGGAGTCATGGAGCAGGCTGCGGGATACAGGCTGCTGTTCAAGAGTAAGATCCGGGCCTTTTTATTGACAGAGAAGGGTGGGTCAAACTGAACACTGGATTTAGGGCTTTAGGTACAGTAAGTCCAAAGATATACACCCTGCTCCCACCCATGATTCCAATGTTATTAACAAAGGCGTTCCCTGATCAGTCCCTGGGGTGCAAAGCACACCTGTTACTGGCCCCTGGGGTCTTCCCAGTCCCACCTTGGGATGTAACCCATTGTCCAGGACCATCAAGCTCCTGCTCTTGTCTAACTTGAAAGGAGCCTTGTATGCTAAACCCACAGTTAGGTTTTAGAATTTTGTTTAAAAGCTTAACTGTGAATGCTAAGTTGTATTGCATAAATACAAAATGATGGGCACATTATAGACCATTCGTGGCTATTTTTAGGGAAGAAGGAGGAAGAGGCTGAGGAGAAGAGAATAAGTAAAAGAAATAGAGAAGGACTTCAGAAAAGGAATGAAGAAACAAATTGCTACTACCAAAGGGAGGGGTGAAATTTAGGGACCAAAGAGAAGCCTCCAACAGGCTGCAGTTGCAGAAAGGCAGAAAGAAAAAGAGAAAGAGGTGTGTAAATAGGCCTTGTCATGTATTTGGTGTTTATAATACCTTACACATAACTGAAATACTCCCCCCATTACTTGAGTTTGGGGTTGAGTGGCTTGATTAAAATATTAACACACCTGGAGACTTTCTCTGACCCTTATAATGTACCCTTCTATTCCATTCTTTTTTTTTTTTTTTAAGATTTATTTATTTATTTTATACAAGAACTGGGTACAGTCAGAAGCGCGGGAGGGTGAAAGAATCCACCAGAGCCAGAGCGGGGAGCAGAGCAGGCAGAAGGACCGAAGTACACTGCTGAGGGGAGCAGCGGGCGGCAGGAGAGGTCTGCACGCCATGCGGGACCCTCCTCCGGTGGCCGGAGAGCAGCCGGGGATCGAACCGGCAGGCAGAGTCTGCGGGCAGAGGCTGCGGGCAGAGGCTGCAGGCAGCTTTGCAACCCAGGGCTCAACCGCTGCGCCACCGGGGAGGCCCTACTCCATTCTTGTTCTAACTATAACATAAAGATCTACCTTGTAGTACTGACACAAATTTATTGTTTCCCTCCCCATTCTCAAAACCATAAGCTGTATGGAGCAGCTTTTTCCAGCTGACTCCCTCCTGCCTAAGGCTGTTCTGGACATATAGGAGGATCACAGTAACTATTTACAGCATGGTATATCCCAGGCCCCCCTTATCCATAGGGGATATGTTCCAAGACCCCAGTGGATGCCTGAAACCATAGATAGTATGGAACTCTATATATACTATGAATTTCCCATTTATACATGCCTATGATAGTTATTAAAAATTAAATTATTATTAATCTCAGTAAGAGATTAACAACAGTAAAAATAAATAGAATAATTGTAATAATATAATAAGTTATGTGAATGTTACCTCACTGTATATA